CGGTGGCGCAGAGAGGCACGTGCGGGCAGGGTGCTGCCAGCCTGCCCGTCACGGGGACGCTGCGAGTGGGGCCCCTGGTCCCGGCAGGGGCGTGGGACGTCCCCGCTGGGGTCACCGCTGTGGCCTGCACCCAGCACGCAGCACGAGCCGTGCAGCCCCGGCAGGATCAGACCTATGCGTTTCCCAGACGCGAGAGGTGCATGATGTTTGGAGGCAGCAATTCCCTTTGCAATGCGGCAGCCTTCCCGGAAAAGCTGCTTCCAGCCCACGGGCTGATCTGCCAGCTCTCGGGGCAAATTTGGATTGCCAGGTTTGTAAGATTGGCCTAGGAAATCGGTTGTCCCTATTGAATATCTCTGCTTCCATTTTCCCTTTCTGATTGCTCCTTCTCGGAGATTGAGACCTGGCAAGTGGGGGCTGCAGCCGTTTGCCGCACGCTCCCCGAGGAGGGCAGAGCCGAAGCCGGCGCGGGGGAGGCTCCCCGCTCTGCAAGGGAAGCAACCAAGCAACTACTAGCAATTTCCTCCCTGCTGTTGCTGCGTGCCGGAGCTCAGCTGTGGACAGCAGAGAATGAAACAGCTTTGCAGGTGCAAAAGAAAATCTGTCTTCCCAGCAACTCCCAGACTTCAGAGCCAGGGGACAATGATGCGGCCCTGATCTGACTGCTGCGGCGTTGCAAACTTGCCAGCTTTGATCACAAGTTTCCTCCCCATCTGCGATCACAGGATCCACCGTCAGCACCAGGGCACGGCACTGACCTCTCAGCTGCTATTTAAAAAGTAAAGTAAAATCTCTCATCCCAGGTATGCACTTAATAAAAAGCATTTGTGCAGCTCTGGCTCGTGGCGGGGGGGGCGCGGCCAGCCCGGAGCGCAGTGCGGAGGCTTCAGTGCCGCTTTGGACCAAAGCAGAGCTGGGGAGTCAGCTCCCTGCCTCCTTTCTGGACTAAATCTCCTGGTCACCTTGAGGTTACCAGGTGCCTTGCGTTGGAGGAGCATTTCCAGGGCAGCCAAGCACCTGCTTACCCGAGGGGGATGCCAGAGCTGCACGGGAAAGGCAGATGCTCAGGAGGTGGCTGGAAGAGGGGCCGGGTCTCCTGCCCCTCCTTGGCCACCGCCTCTGAGGAGACGCACGGGGACCTCCGCGCCCTGGGACCGGACCCGCTTTGGCCACAGCTGGCCGAGGGCTTCTAGGAAGCCGGGCTAAAAATATCGTGCTGGTGCTATGCAGCAAAGGGGCTAGCCCGACCCTCCGCTCCGAGGCGTCAACGTGATTCATGCCTTCGCGCGTGCCGGCAACCCGCTGCGCCCGCACGGCCCCTGTGCCAAGCAGCGGGGCTCCCCCTCGGTCAGTCGAAAAATAGAAAAGCTGCAAGTATCCCCCTTCTTTTGCTCCGTTTTGGGGGTTTTGCCTATTTCATTGTGGGCCTCCCTTCCCCCCCTTTTTTTTCAAATGGCTCCTCTGCGTTTGGGCTGAGCGTCACTAGGACACGGGAAGGGAGGGAGCGCAGC